CTTTCAGGCTGGCTCTCTGCACCCAGGGAAGGCCAGGGTTCACCTTGGTGTTTACAGGACTCTCTCCCTGGGCAGTTGAGTGTCTTCCTTTGATGAAAAGGTGTCCTTCATGTCATACCCGAGAGTAGGGTAGAGTTTTGAGTGCCTTCCACTTGCCACCCTTTGTTCTCTAGTCGATCTCCACATCTCAGTGCTGGCTGAGCTCTTGTTCCCACAGAAACCCTGGGAGTGCTGGCTCGAGCAATGGGAGAGTCCATGAGGCCCCTGGCTGAGGAATGCTGTCAGCTGGGGCTGGGGTTATGCAGCCACATAGATGATCCTGACTTGCGGCGCTGCACGTGAGTGACTGACCCTTCACGCTGCCTCTGCTCTCCTGCCAACCCAATGTATTGACAGTCCTCATCCCAGATACCAGTCCTTTGATATTGGACCACAGCCAGGGTTCCCGGGCTCTCCCCTTTTGTCTGTATAGAAGGCAGCAGCATACAGACTCTCTCTACCTTAATCAGGTACAGCCTGTTTGCAGCCTTATCAGGGTTAATGGGAGATGGCCTGGCACCTTACCTGCCTCAAATTACCACGCTCATGCTGCTGTCATTGCGTTCCACCGAGGGCATTGTGGTGAGCAGAGGAGGGGTGTACTGGGCCAGTTCAACCAGGCTAGCCCTGTGGTGGTATTTATCTCCTGGTCCCACCTGAGCCAAAGTCCCTGCTTGGCTTTCTTTGTCTAGCCTCAGTATGATGGAATCAGCTCCTTCCTTCTGTTTGATGAAGAGAGCGAAGGGGAGGAAGAAGAGGACCTCGTGGATGATGATATGGAAGAGGAGGAGGACTCTGAGATCTCAGGGTAGGAGGAGTCTACTCTTCTACTTAAGAGTGTAGACTTTGAGTCGGGCAGTGGTGGTGCACGCTTTTAATCCGGCACTCGGGAAGCAAAGGCTCTGAGTTTGAGGCCAGCCTGGTCGAGGAGAGCCAGGGATACACAGAGAAAACCCTGCCAAAACATAGAAAATAGAAAGACTACTGTAGACTTTGATTCTAGACATGGCCCAGTGCTGGATCTGCTCCTGCAGGTGTCATCACTTCCCCCTCCAACTGCCCTTAGGTACAGTGTGGAGAATGCCTTCTTCGATGAGAAAGAAGATACCTGCACTGCCCTGGGGGAGATCTCTATGAATGCCAGGTGAGCGCCAGCCCGTCCACGGGGCTGGGAACCATCCCCAGGGCCCCTTTCCCCACTGCTGTGTATCTTTCCATAGTGTGGCCTTCCTTCCATACATGGATAACGTCTTTGATGAAGTACTCAAACTGCTGGAGGTGAGTTAGTTGGCGGGTCCTTAAGCTCCAGTCAGGGTTGTCTTCACCTTGCCCATGCCTGGCACACACCTTCCCTCTTTGTCCCAGTGTCCTCATCTGAGTGTGCGGAAAGCGGCTCATGAAGCTCTGGGACAGTTCTGCTGCTCGCTACATAAGGCCTGTCAGAGTAACCCTTCCGAGCCCAACAAGACTGGTGAGGACCTTAGCGGGCTGGGAGCCCTGGGGACAGCCGTGCAGTAGAGCCAGCCTGACCATGGCTCTGGCCAACTGTGTGTGTCTCCAGCTCTGCAGTCTGCCTTGGCTCGAGTGGTACCGTCTTACATGCAGGCAGTGAAAGGAGAAAAGGAACGCCCGGTGGTAATGGCAGTGCTGGAGGCCCTGACTGGGGTGCTGCGCACCTGTGGGGCTGTCACACTGTACCCCTCTGGGCGCCTCAGTGAGCTCTGCAGCATGCTCAAGGCTGTGCTGCAGAAGAAGGTGAGGAGGGAAGGGGGGCTGTGGGAAGAGGAGGTGTCAGACCCCAGAAGAGTGGGTTTTCAGAGGCTTTAAGTCTAGCTCTGCCCACCTCGCCACCACCGTGCAAAAGAGAAGGCAGGAGAGCCCACACTCAGCCGAACCATGTCTTCCACAGACAGCCTGTCAGAACACCGAGGAGGAAGATGAAGATGAAGATGATGACCAGGTGAGAGCTCCAGATGAAAGTGGCCTAGATAACCTAGTTAGTCCCCACAGGGTCAGCAGTGGACAGTGCACCCAGCCTAGCCTGGAGGAGCCAGGGCTGCTAACAGTAGTTGGTGCTGCCAGAGTGGTGCCACCCTCATCTCAGTAAGGTGGCGAGGTGTTCAGAGGAGAGTGGTGTTCACCGGGGCAGCACTGGGAGTGATAAATGGAGGGCCTGGGCTCTAAAAGGCCAGCTTGGAAACGGGTCGGTCTGTGAGACAAGGGCAGCCCCAGAACCACCTGCAGCCAGTGGCAGAGCGAGGTTTGGAGGTGCATGATCCCAGAGCTGGCCCTGGTGCTCCAGCCCCTTAACCTGGCTCCACAGGCAGAGTATGACGCCATGTTACTAGAGCACGCTGGAGAGGCCATCCCTGCCCTGGCAGCCGCAGCTGGAGGACAGGCCTTCGCTCCTTTCTTTGCCAGTTTCTTGCCGTTATTGCTGTGTAAGATGGTGAGTGCTCTGTCCGCTAGCCTCACATCCTAGTCCACCTGTGACCCGGTGCCTGCCCTTCCAACTCCACCTCCATGCCAATTTGTATTCCTCCAACCTCCCCTGCAGAAACAGAGCTGTACGGTGGCAGAGAAGTCCTTTGCGGTGGGAACACTGGCAGAGTCCATTCAGGGTCTGGGTCCTGCCTCAGTCCAGTTTGTGTCTCGGCTGTTCCCTGTGCTGTTAAACACTGCCCGGGAAGCAGACCCAGAGGTGCGGAGCAATGCCATCTTTGGGCTGGGTCTACTTGCAGAGCATGGGGGCTGCCCTGCTCAGGAGTATCCTATGCTTGCAGGAGGGAAAATGGGGTTAGAAGTGAGGCCAGGGATTTGGTAAGGTGCTGCTGCAGGGTGAAGTCTGCCAATGTGTGTATTCCTTAACTGTGGACCAGCCACTTCCCTAAGCTACTAGGTCTCCTTTTGCCCCTCCTGGCAAGGGAGCATCATGATCGAGTCCGTGATAACATCTGTGGGGCTCTTGCCCGTCTGCTGATGGCCAGTCCAGCAAGGAAAGCAGATCCCCAGGTGAAGGAAGGGGCATCAGGCAGGGGTGGAGGCTAAGGATGGTGGAGGGGACAGGACACATGGGCCTGAGACATCTGTGTCTTCAGGTGCTGGCTCCCCTGCTACATGCCCTGCCACTGAAGGAAGACATGGAGGAGTGGATCACTATAGGTTGCCTCTTCAACTTCCTGCACCAGAACAACCCTGAGCAGGTAACCTGCTGCTAGAGCTTTACAAGGAGTGTTAGGCTCCAGTCTAAGGGCGGAGGAGATGCCAACTGTAACTGATGCATGGCCATTTCAGGTTGCTTTTTGGTTGTTCGAGACAGGGTTTCTCTGTGTATTCCTTGCTGTCTTGGAACTCAATTCTATAGACCAGGCTGGCCTCAAACTCAGAGATCCTCCTGCCTCTGCCTCCCGAGTGCTGGGATTAAAGGTGTGCGCCACCTTTTCCTTCCCTGTATCCCTGATTGGCCCCTGCTTGTCATATAGCTGAGGATGGCCTTGAGCCCTCAGTCCTTCCCCATCTGTTCTCCACCTCCCGAGTGCTGGGATTACAGGCATGCACTACTAGACTTAATTTTAGCAGTGCTAGGGATCAAAACCAGACCTCATACATGCTTGGTAAATATTTCCACCCACTGAGCTGCATCCCCAGCTTCTCATTTCCTCTGTCCACAGCGTTGGCAGACAGTCTGATGGAGTAGGGGGCTTCTCTGGTAGCATTTTCCCACTTATCTTGGGCTAAGCCAGTAGTCATAACTTCCCTAGGCTGATTTCCTAGTCAGGGCTAGGAAAACAGGTCCCTTTGGAGCCCTGGATACCTCTCATCACCCCACCATACACTGGGATCTGCTTCCGAAAAAGATCAACTACCTACGCTTGGACACATGCCCCAGTGTTCTTGCGTCACTTTTTGTCTTGAATCTTTTTTGCGTGTTGGGTGAGTACTTGGATGCTGTATTTCTGTTGGTTTTGAGACTATAACTTTAATCTTTGGTCACACATCTTATTACCTCCAAAAAGAGACTGTTACCATGTTTCCTTATTCCTTCTCAAGTTCACAGTTGGGTTGGGTGTCAGCTCAGTTTCAGGGCTGCTTCTCTCCCGGGTCCCAACCACCCACTCTACGCCCCGGGGCTCCAGGCTGTTACTGCCGGGGTTGACGAGTCCTTTCCACAGCTTGCAGATGTGGCTCCGGAGCTCCTGCGTATCTGCAGCCTGATTCTGCCAGACAACAGGATCCCAGCAGGTGAGGGTGACAGTCATAGCTAAGGACTAGGGAAAATGGGGCAGTAAGGGTGTCAGAACCCAGTTCTTCATCAAGTCCTCTCTCTACTCTACCCAGACACCAAGGCGGCACTGCTGCTGCTCCTGACGTTCCTGGCCAAACAGCACGCTGACAACTTCCACTCAGCCCTGGGCTCTCTGTCTGCTGATAAAGCTCAGGAACTCCAGGCCTTGCTGGGCCTCACTTAGACTACAGGCTCCAGCTGGGCCAGAGGGCCCCAAGACTACCAGTCAGCCCAGGCGCAGCCCACCTCACCAAAGACTATATATATCATTGGAAGTCAATCCTGCTTGCTGTCTTAACAGGGGTGTCTCTGGGGCTGGAGCTATTCAAGCAGAGCTGTGACATCACACTGTAATAAAGGCAGCTTGTTTTCTGCTTGGACACTAGCTCTGAGAGCAAGAAGGCTAGAGGTTTGCGTTCAGAAATGAGACAGGCAAGGGGCTGGAGTGTCTCAGCACTGAAGAGGGCAGACTGTTTCAGCAGAAGACGGTGTTCAGTTCCTAGGACCCACACTAGATGGCTCAAAACTGCCTTGAATTCCAGCTCCAGAGGTTTAATGTCCTCTTCTGGCCTTCCCAGACAACTACACTCACTTTCAGTTCCAACCCACACACACAATTTAAAATTAAAAAATAAATATTTAAAAAGACTAACAACAAAAGGGCAAAGTCCAGTGAGGTAGGGTATGGTTTAATGAACTTGCTCAGTGGAATCTGGGTCCCGGATGGATCAGGAGGCGCCCATATGGCTTCTTTTGTTCCACACGAAGGATCTTCTGTGCGGACAGCACTAGTTGGGAAAGGAGAAAGCAGGTCTTACAGTGCTATAGCAGCTTCTGGCCTGTCCGCTCCATCTCTCTTACGCCTACACTCACCCAGGAGCAGGGAGAAGACCCGAGAAGCCAGCTTCCTGGGGCTGAGAGGGGGCACCAGGCTGCTGAAGTCTGGCTCCCTGTTGGCCTGCAGCTCCAGTGCTACTGCCCTGCAGGGATTGAGGACTGTCAGCCAGGGTGACAGCCTACCCTACCCCCTTGAGAGACCCCTCCCTGGTACCTAAGTACAGCCTCTGAAGAGAGTAGCTCAGGCCCTGGGGGCATCTCCATGGGCACTTCAGGGATTTCAGGCAGCATGGGCAGTGCAGGAGGTTCTGGCTGCCCCTCCTCAATCCAGGCCCTAGGAGACAAAGTGGGGCAGCTCAGGGAAGGGGGAGGGTAGTTGTGACAGTGACAACAGGCAGGGCCACCTGGCTGCTTACCATCGTTCTTCTGGGGGGATGAGGCTAGTACGGGACTTTTCCTCTTCAGCCGCTTCCAGGGAGAGCTCTGTGAGGGTTGAGAGCATTGAGGGGTCTACTTGGCTCTAAGGAGCTGGGATCTTGGAGCCATGCTGGGCATGTAGTTCAGTGGTGAGGCATTTGCCTGACATGCACAAGGCCTTGCCTTCAGTCCCCAGGACTACAAAGCTCCCCTCCCCATATTCTGGAGCCTAGTATAGCCTTGTGCAAAGTGGGAGCACTGGAGAATCCAGGCTGTGCTTAGTGCTCTGCATGCCTCTCCCTGTTAGAAACAGCCTCAGCAACTGGGGGACTGGTTAGCATAGCGGTTTCCACCTGCCCCTCTAGTGCAAGCACCTACCTGAGGAGATCATGAGGGGACCACTGGGCTCCTGGGCCTCCCTCAGAACCTGCAGGTGGGAGAACAAAAACTGAGAGCCAAGCACCAGTGTCCGAGTCTCGGTCTGATTAGCAAGCTGGTCAGAAGAAAGTCTGCTAGAGCTCCCCAGAGCTGAGGCTTCCAGGGCACGGTAGAGGAGGCAGTTACCTCGATCTCACTCAGAGCTTCAGTCTTTCTTCTTTCCTCCTCAGCTACCTCTTCAGGCTCCAGCTGTGGTCTTTGTCTGAGCATTCTCGGGGGTATCTGGGCACAGTGGGTCCATAAAGCTAGTAGTTCTGGGGGCAGCCAGCCAGCTGACAACAAAGGAAAAGGTTTCAATCCTAAGACCGAGGATTCCAGGTTCTGAAGATCCCACCTGCCCAACTGTCATCCTTCTTACAGAGAGTTGGGGTTCTGAAGAGCTCCGCTGGGCTTGTGATCATCCTTTCAGGCTGGACCACAGGCTGCAAGAAAGTGGAAGGCCAGTGGCCCCTTTATGAAAGTCCACTCCTCACAGCCCCTCCCTTGTACACTGTTCCCAGGGCTTATGCCTGTTTTCAGGATCATGACCTAGCCTATAGTGCTTGTGGCTAACAGGGTAGATGGTAACGTGGTGTCAGTGGATGTGTTGGGTATATGCTGTTCCACACACATGCACTTTCTAGGAACTAGGGCCTTTTGTTACATTGCCAGGGCCCCTTGGGAGTTCGGAAATCCAGCCAGACCTGCATCTGCATGCCTCTCCTCCCCAGGGAGAACTTGTGCCGCACTCACATACACCTGGCAGTGAACCCCGGTCTGCAGCTGTTCCTCAAATTTCTCCCGGGAGATCTGGGTCTCCTTGTCCCAGAATAGTAACTGGCGGCGGCGGCGGCTTCGGCGGCCAGGTCGGCTCGGAGGTGATGGAGGCCTCTTCTAGAGTAGAAAGGAGGCAAGGGACAGGCCGTTCATCTCCCCTTTCCAGTGGCCCCACACTCTGCCCCTGTCAGTTGTCTGGGGAAGAAGCTTGGTTACTCAAAGGTACCTACTGGGAAGAGAGGCCACACCATGAGGTATGGAGAGGGACATCTTTTACTGATGTAAGCAAAGTCCTCAGTGTAAACTAGTAATGGCCCCGGGGCTTAAGGACAAAGATGTATGAGGGGAAGGTACAGAGGCTGCAGCTTGGGGAAGAACCTACTCACCTCTGCACTAAGCGGAGCAGGTAGACGTAGCTCCTGAGGAGGGGTCACCTCTGCAACAACACCCATAATCCCCTGTTTTTTGCTTTTGTTTTTCAAGGCAAGGTCTGTCACTGTAACCCCAGCTGGCCTGTCCCAACCCTAGTTTCTGGAGTGATCGGGCTCCAGATGCTATCTCCACACTCGATTGGTCCCTTCACTCTTTTGGTTTTTTGTTTGTTTGTTTTTGGAGAGGGTTTCTTTGTGTAGCTCTGACTGTCCCAGAACTAACTGTGTAACCAGGCTGGCCTCCACCTCTGACCTGTCTGCCTCTGTCTCCCAAGTGCTGGGATTAAAGGTATGTGCCGCCACCACCCAGCTAGCCTCTTCATTCTTGCAGCTACCAGTGTCTCCCTCAGAAGGTGGGGTAAGGACATTTGTCTCTGTAAGTGTGCAGCTGTTCCCGAGAAAGCACCAAGTGATGGACACTTACCAGTGAGTAAGGCCCCAGGCTCCCAGCCTGTCAACTTCTGTACCTCGGGAGCGAAGACCTGGCTTGGAAGTGGTTCTCTTATCCCTTCAACCCTGAAGGAAACAGGCAGATAAAGAAACCTTCCTAGCAATGACCCCTTACCTGGTAGAGGGATTCCTGCCCTTACTGTGCTGGAGCTGGAGCTGGAGCTGGAGGTGAGAGTGAAGGGACCACACCATCACCCTCCATGGCCCTGGGCTCTTCCTTGGATTCTGCAGAGAGAGGATCAGAACATTTAGGAGACAGAAGAACAAGGCCCTGTCCATTCTCATGTTGGCTGTGCGGAGAGCTGACCATCCAGTGCTGGAGAAGCTCTCCGACGCTGGAGAAGCCTGCCTCGCTGACGTTCCTCCAGCAATATGGCATCATCTTCCTCCGCAATCAGCAGGTCCAAATCACCTCGGCTGACCTCTGGGAGATCCTGCTCTCCCTATGGAGAGAGGAACAGAGTAGACTTTTTGAGACTGAGCCCAAGGAAACCCAGTGGGTACTAACGGGACAGAATGTGGGAAAATGAAAACAGAGAAAGGCAGAACTACAGGGGTGTGGTGAGGCTGGACTGTAATCCCGCGTTTAAGGGGAAACTCACCTCAATCCGCAGCATGCGTATGGGCTCTGCCTCCTGTAGGGTGATGGCCTCAGGAGAATGAACAGTGGCTAAGGTCCTGTCTGGAGGATTAGGAAGATGATAGCAGCCCTACTTCTTTTGAAGTTGTTGGGGCGAAAACATGGATTTTGGAGACCAAGAACCAGACCCAGGCTAGTCAGCAGCAAATACCCCAAGTGCATTTCATTTTTTGTTTGTTTGTTGAGACACGGCTCACTATGTAGACCAGGTTGGCCTCCAATAAGAGACCTTGCCTGCCTTTGCCACTGCTGAGTTTAAAGGTGTACAATCACCACACCCGGCCTCCGAGTTCATTTCTTAACCATCGTGAGCCTTACTTTCCTTATCCTTAAAATGAAGATAGTAATTCTGACCTCATTTGGACTCTTTTTAAAGATTTGTCTGAATTGTTAATTATGTATATGTGAGTATGCCTATATGTGGGTACATTCCTGCGAGTGTGTCAGATTTCTCTGGAGGGACAGTTGTAGGTAGTTGTAAGCCAATGTATATGGGTGCTGGGAACTGAACCTGGGTCCTCTGTATGAGCATTCAGTACTGCCTCTACTTCCTGAGTGCTGGGATTATAGGTGTCCACCTGTTTTGTTTTGTTTTTTATCCTTTTTTTTTTTTTTAAATGTTAACCGGGTGTTGGTGGCGCACGCCTTTAACCCCAGCACTTGGGAGGCAGAGGCAGGTGGATCTCTATGAGTTTGAGGCTAGCCTGGTCTACAGGGCGAGTTCAAGGACACCCAGGGCTGTTACACAGAGAAACCCTGTCTTGAAAAAAATAAACAAATAAATAAATGAAAAAGGAAATGTTGAAATGGTTTCTTTAAGCAGTCTAGGCTGGCCTTGAACTCAGTATCTAAACCCAGGCAGGTGTTAACTTGGAGTTTCCCCACATCAGGCTCCCAAGGAAATGGGATTACAGATGTGTCACCCAGCCTCACCCAGCCTGGCTTTTAAGAGTCATTGATTGTGGTCTACAAGAGCTAGTTCCAGGACAGCCCCCAAAGCCACAGAGAAACCCTGTCTCGGGTAAAAAAGAGAGTCATTGATTGAGCTCTTGGGTTCCTGAGCCTCTCATCAGAACAGCCCTCCCTGCTGACTTGGCTCCCTGGGCTCTGCAGTGACTTCAGGAGGGGGGGTCTCCTTACCAATTTTCTCTGGAGTCACAGCCTCTAAAAGGTGTCGAATCTTTGGGAAGAAATTGGGAACAAAAGACAGGTCTTAGCATCACTCCTCTATGTCCTTACTTTCAAAACATTCAGTGGACACCAATCTGGCCGTCTCTGTATTTCTTGTTTTAGAATTTTTGCTTTCTTATTTATTCATTTTTGATACAGGTCTCACTGTGTAGCTCAGGTTGACCTAAACACTTTTTAAAAAGATTTTATTTATCTGTGTGTGTATGCATGCACCCTTGGAGGCCAGAAGGCAGAGTTTGATGTTGGATCCCTGGAGCTGGAGTGAGAGATGACTGTGAAAGCTGGCAGTGACATCCTGTCCTCTGCAAGAGCTGGATACACTGGTAACCACTGAGCCATGGCTCTACTCCCAGCCCCACCCACCCCTGCTTCAACTTTTGACAGTACTCATCCTTGAAACTCATGAGTTCTTGAAGTAGCTTACATCACCATATCCAAGGTGTGTGTGTGTGTGTACGTGCGCGTTTGCGGGCACGCACACACACAAGCGTGTGTATTTTCAGAACTGGGAATCAAATTGCGGGCTAGTGCATGTTAAGCAAATACTCTATCACTGTGCTACGCCTTCAGCCCTAAACCAAATCTCTGTGCCATTTGACACCCATATGCCATAAAGCCACCAACCTACTCTTCCTCCTGTCCCTGTCCTAACCTCGCCTCCAAACTAGCTTTGTGAATTTGTGCAAAAAGCAGTGCAACATCCATCTACACATCAACTGTGTTGTGGACAGAAACGACTAGAAAAGGTTCTTGGGTAGATGGTAGTGGGGACAAGTGTGAGTGAGTGTGATTCCAGTGGAGCCAACGAAGAAGACAGAGTGGCCTTGGTAAAGTGCTCACATTCCAAACCTCATTTCTATTGGCTTCGAGTGGGTTAATGATTTCATGGAAAGGGTGACAGTCGACTAAGTCTGTAAGGATAAGTAGGCCCTGGCCAGCAGAGAATGAAGAGCCGCTCTTATCAGGTTGAGAGATGTATTTCCACAAGTAAAGAAGTAAATGTGGCATTTCTGGGACATAGAAAATGGGGGCTGGTGCTGGTAGCTAAGGAGATCTAGAGAAAAGAATGGAATGGACTCCACCAAATCCAGGCTCCAAGATCCCTAGAGGTGCAGATACTATTTGCATTCAGGACCAACTTGCATGAATGAGAAGATGGGAAATGGAGTGATATCTAAGCTGTGGGGATGATGGGAGAAGATGGGGAAGAAAAGCCAACATCTAGACTAGGGTCTCAGTGGTGGGAACGGTGGAGATGGGGGAAGCATGCCTCTCATGAGGAAGCCATTCCATCAGGTTGGCCCTAAGTGAGGAAGATCTCGGGCTTTCCCTGTTTGCACCCACTAATCCCCTTGCTCCATGGCCTCTTATGGGAACCTATGGCAGTGTCCCATCCCCAAACCTCAGATTAACACAAGGACACCAACTAACCCTTCGGTCTATACTGCCATCTTGTGATTTCTGAGGTGCTCTAGGGAAATGAGCCCTACCTGAGGAATATCAAAAGGGCTGGGAAGTCCTGGATCCACAGACATCGTCCCAAAAAAGGGTTCTGGGGCATCTTCCAGTGTCTCCATCATGGCCAGACAGTTGGGAAGAAGCAAGCTAGGTCTGGGAGAGAACTGGGATGTCAGGGACAAGGCTGAGAGTGGGTGAGATAGCTCAGCAGGTAAAGGTGCAGCCACCAAATGCAAAGTCCTGAATTTGATCCCTAAATCTGAACCTATGTAATGATGAGAACCCACCTTCTCAGACTGACTGTGTTCTTTCTCTCTCTCTCTCTCTCTCTCTCTCTTTCTCTCTCTCTCTCTCTCTCTCTCTCTCACACACACACACACACACACGAATGCATTATAAAAAAGAAAAAAAGAGGCTGAAGCAAGTCTGATTGGCCCGGGTTCCAGGGACTCACAGGTCAGCCTCCTCCATATCAATGCGAATCCGCATCTGGGCCCGGTGCAAACGTTCTAGGATATGCTGGATGTCTTCTGTGGGCAAGGAAGGTACAATAATCAGCTTAGGCATGAGCCATTCGGCTCTAGCCCACCTCTAGTGTTCCCAGTCTTACCCACAAGGTACTGGCACTGCTGAGAGTAGACCCTTATCACACCGATCTGCAGCTGCGCAGAGAGATAGAGGGAGAAGCGGGGCCGGGGCAGCCCAGGCATCGGAGGTTGCACTCGTACCAGCACATAATTGAGGATTTCCTCGCTGGGAGAACAACGGACCCTGGTCAATGCTGCACTCATCGAAGCTCCCAAGCCAGAGACTCCTCCCTCTTTTCTGGGTCTTACCAAGTCTTTACTACGTTCACTTTCAGGTATTCACGCTTCACTAACCGGCTGCCTCGGGTTGCTGCCAGCCTGGAAGGGTGGGGACAGGTATGGCCTGTCAAACTCAAGATTCCCACTACTCGGCTCCTGGCATAGCTATCAGCCCTGTGCTCACCAGATAGTGGCGAAGCAGCCTGTGTGGCGCTGAAGCACGTTAGGATAGTAGAACATCTCTGGGTTTCACGCTCAGCACCAATCCCGTTTGGCTCTCAATCCGAATTCTTTAGGACACGAGATTTCCAGCACCATGGCAGAGGAGTAGGAATTTGGACAGGGAGCATGGTGGATGCGGATGCAAAAAGCCCAATTAATAAGACCACCAACTACTAGTACCGGAACTAGGAGGTAACCAAACGGAGAAGCAGGTGCTGCGCACCCTTCATTCTGCCACCCCCGAGGTCTGCATACCACTCGAGGAAACAGAATTTACCATCAGGATTGGCGGTCCTGGCCAGAGATGCGAAGCTCCAAGGGAAAGCCTGGGCAGGGACAAAAAAATAACAGGTCTTTAGGTTAAACTGAGTTCTCGTCAACAGGCCTTCTTCGTCCTCAAGCACACAGACATCGTCAAGCTTCTGGGACTTGCTCTAGGTCCGGTCGCCCTCCAGCGGGACAAGGAGCACGCTCTCCAAGGCTTTGAGCCAGGACAGCCAATGGGGAGCTGTGACTCCTGGTGCTAGGCAGCAAAACCCGGTTCCAGGCCATAGGCTCTTGGAGACGGGTCGCGAGCCAATCACGAGAATGCTGAGCACTACTGTGGCATTGTGAGGTGTCCTGGCCAATGGGCTTTCGTTCTCTCGGGTAGTAACAAGGACTTCTCCAACGGGTTCTGCTGACCAATAAACGGGGAGAAAACCCAGTTTCTCCCTGGAGACAGCTTGCTAGCAGGGTGTCTACTAGAAGGAGATGGGGTCATGCCAAGGGCAAATGCCCTGGCGCTGCTTATAATTGCAGAGATGCAAGGGACCATACCTTGCCTGTGCATAAATCCTGTTCTTAATCCTCAATTCCACCTGATTTTGTGTCCATGAAGGGTGTGTGCTGAACTAAATGCTAACCACAGTGTGAGGTGGCCTTGTAATCACCACATGCCAACAAGAAAGAAAACAGCCACAGGGGCTGCAACTACAAACTTCACCTGCCGCTTGAAATTAAGACACTAGTCGTGATGGTGCACGCCTTTAATCCCAGCACTCGGGAGGCAGAGGCAGAGGATCTCTGTGAGTTCGAGACCACCCTGGTCTACAAGAGCAAGTTCCAGGACAGCCTCCAAAGCTACAGAGAAACCCTGTCTCGGGAAAAAAAAAAGAAAAGAAAAGAAAAGAAAAAAGAAAAAGAAAGAAATTTAGACACTATCTCCAATCAAAAAGCAAAAACAGAGGCCAGGAGTTGTAGTGTATACCTTTTATCTCAGCAGTAAGAGGTTATGAGTTTGAGATTAGCCGGGTCTACAGGCCATTTAGGAAGTGATAGTGAGACCCTGTCAAAAAAAAAAAAAAAAAAAAAAAAAAGGGAAAAGGGGGGGGAACAGGGCTGGAGATGTAGCTCAGTAGTAGAGAGTTTGCCTGGCATCTGCATGGCCCTAGGCTCAACCCTCAGTACCACAGAAAGGAAAGGAAAGAAAACAGCCTTTGATCCTGGCAGAGTCAGGCCAGTCCTGAGTCTGAGGCCATGATGGTCTACACAATGACTTCCAGGCTAGCCAGAGCTACATAGGGAGATTCTGTTTCAAAACCAAGCAAATAAAAACAACAGCAAAACAAAAATGAAGGTGTGTGGATGTATCTCAGGTCTTGGGAGGAAAGGTGGGAGTTGAAGGACAGTTCTCACTTCACAGTGAGTTTAATACCAGCCTGGGTCATCATGAGACCTAGCTCAAAAACCTCAGAATTAATAGAAAGTACATGCTCTTTTTATTTATTTTTTTTTCCGAGACAGGTTTTTTTCTGTATAGCCCTGGCTGTCCTGGAACTCTCTCTGTAGACCAGGCTGGCCTTTACCTCAGAGATCAGCCTGCCTCTGTCTCCTGAGTGCTACACTGGCTCAAGACACCTTTCTCCCCGCCCCCTTCGGGTTAGGGTTTCTCTGTGTAGCTCTGGCTGTCCTGGAACTAGCTCTGTAAACCAGGCTGACCTCAAACTCACAGAGATCTTCCTGCCTCTGCCTCCCAAGTGCTGGGATTAAAGGCATGCACCATCACTGCTGGGTGATGCTTTTTTTTTTAAACCAGAAATTTAACTTTTTTTCATAGTGTGTGTGGGCGTGCGTGCGTGCGTGCGTGTGTGTGTGTGTGTGTGTGTGTGTGTGTGTGTGTGTGTGTGTGTGTGTGTACGCGCACGCGCGTGCTCGAAGGACAACTTGCTGGAGTCAGTTTTATCCTTCTACCATGTGAGGTCTGTGGTAGACTGAACCTAAGTCCCTATGCTTGGTGGCAGGTGCCTTTACCTATGAGTCATATTGTCAGCCCCTCAATAACTCTTTTTTTTTTTTTTTTTGGTTTTTTGACACAGGGTTTCTCTGTGGCTTTGGAGGCTGTCCTGGAATTAGCTCTTGTAGACCAGGCTGGTCTTGAACTCACAGAGATCCGCCTGCCTCTGCCTCCTGAGTGCTGGGATTAAAGGCGTACGCCACCACTGCCCGGCTCAAATAATTTTTTATATAAATTAAGCATATGATTACGATGGTGCCAAAATTATAAATATCTTTTGCTCTGGTGTCTCTGCCTTTATAAAACCATTTCTTTGCCTTAGACTATTCTTTCCTGCCTTGGCTCCAGGGTAGGCTCTGATATTAAACTTAGTTCTGTGGTAGTTGAACTGACCCTCTCTCTCTCTCTGTCCCCTTCCGTCTGGAGCTCTTGGGAGCAGGGTCACATTTTTTCCAGTGTATGCCTGGCTTCTGGTTATGTAAGTACAGTATTTGTCAAGTGATTGTTCAATTGACCTATATTTACAACTATACAAGGTCAAAACCCAAAGAGACTGAGAGGCAGAGTATAGTGACTCATATGTATAATCCCAGCGTTGAGGGGACTCAGAGGCAGGAAGATGTTAGAGTTCAAGGCCAGCCTGGCCCATACAGCGAGTTCAGCTTGGGCTAGCTGAGGCCTTGCTTCAAAAATAAATAAATAAATAAATAAATAAATAAATAAATAAATAATCAACCAAAAAAAAAAGCAGGGCGTGGTGGTACATGCTTTTAATCCCAGGACTCGGGAGGCAGGCTGATCTCTGTGAGCTCCAGGACAGCTAGTTACACAGAGAAACCCTGTCTTGGAAAAAAAAAAAAAAAAACTAAAGAAAATCAGAAAAGACATCAAATCCTCTCCAACTGGAGTTCAGATGGTGAGATGACTTATAGAAATCAAATCTGGGGGCTGGAGAGATGGCTCAGAGGTTAAGAGCACTGAATGCTCTTCCAGAGGACCTGAGTTCAATTCCCAGCAACTACATGGTGGTTCATGACCATCTATAATGACATATGGTGCCCTCTTCTGGCACGTAGGCAGAACGCTGTATATGTAATAAATAAATCTTTAAAAAAAAAAAAAAAGAAAGAAATCAAATCTGCACCCTCTGTAAAGCAGTCAGTCCTCTTAACAACTGAAACATATCTCTGCCAGTGTTTGTGGGGTTGGGTTTTTTTGTTTGTTTTGTTTTGTTTTGTTTTGTTTTGTTTTGTTTTGAGACAGGGTCTCACTATGTAGCTTTGGCTGTTCTGGAACTCACTCTTTAGACCAGGACTTGAACTCACACAGGGACACATCAGTTTCTGCCTCCCAAGTGCTGGGATTAAAGGCATACACCACCACCCACCCCTGTTCTTTTCAACTTTCTCCGGCTCTTGCAGGAATGTGGTACACGGCAAATACTCAGGAGCATGCACGAGAGCACACATCCCCTTACATAGAGGACAACAGCACAGGGATTGAGGGACCTCGCATGAGTCCCAACTTTACAAGTGGGGAGAAGCACAGCCCACATGCTCTCTCATAAACCACACAGCTCCTCAGAGCCTGCCTTGGAATTTTGCTGTTTTGAGTTCTAATATTCCCAATCCCTAGCCTACTGTGCTTGACTACACTGGTTATTTCAATCGTTGAAGTGTCACTTTGTCACGTCGGGGCTCAAAGACGAAGTGCAAGCCCTGACCAGAAGGTGCTCCATATCTACTTTTAGGTTCAAGAGATACACATGGTACATAGAGTAATTTGGCTACCATTCATCCATTCAGTCCAACAGGCACTTACAAGGTGCCTCTCACATGCCACTGGGGATAAACAAGGAACACTGTTCCCTGCTCTCGGGGGTAGGGAAGGAGAGATGATAAGGAAATAGAAGTGTGTGAGATGGCAGCACTATTAAGTTTTAACTTTAGTGGTTAAGAACATGCACAGCTCTCCAGAGAATTCAAGTTTGATTCCCAGCACCCATATCAGGCAGCTCACAGTTATCAACTATCTGTAACTCCAGCTCAAGGGGGATCCAACTCCTAAGGCGCAAGCTCTCACACACGTGCTCGCGTGCACACACACACGCGCACACACACACATAATTGAACAGAAGGACCAGAAGATGTGGGCAACTTGTATGGGATACCCAGGGGAGCTCTAAAGAGGTGGTATTTTGAAGAGACGGGTCATGTGACTGCATGCAGTAAGATTATATTATCATATTATTTGGATTTTTGAGACAGTGTCTCTCTTTGTAGCCCTTGCTGACTTGGAACTCGCTCTGTAGACCATGCTGGCCTCAGATTCACAGAGATCCACTTGCCTCTGCCTCCAGTGCTAAGATTAAAGGTGAGCGCCACCAGTCATCGAGGAATAGTATTTTAGAAAAAAAGAACAAACATGTTTTGCGGGTTCAAGGATCCTGGAGCAAAGTAGCATGGGAAGGGCAAAGGATGAGTTAGTTGGGAAGGAGGCGGGGACTGTTTAATGTTGGAGGTCATTTTCAGGATCTTGGCTGTTACCTTGAGGGAGTTGGGAGTCAAGGAGGGTTTTAAGCACAAGAATGAAATGACGAGATTTGTGTTGAGAGTCTCTCTGTACTGTGTCGAGAATAGGCTAAAAGCAGACAAGAGTGGGAACAGAGACAATGTGAAAAGAACCAAGAGATTTGTGGTAATATTAGGTGGAACTGAGGCAGGGGTTTTAAGAACAATAGGACCTTTCTTGTCTCAAGCTTCTAATGTGTCAGATACTCAAAGATCACCAAAGGTCAACCTGAGTCAGTGGCAGAGTCTTTTGGGAGAAGGCAAAGCAGAAGCAAGCTTTATTAGAATTATAGAAAAGTGGTGATGGAGAGATGACTCAGAGGCTAAGAGCTTGTGTTGCTCTTCTAGAGGACCCACACGACAGCTCATAACCATCCATTCCAGTTCCAAATGATCTGAGGTCCTCTTCTGGACTCCATAGACCACAGGCACTCTTGTGGTACAGAGACATATGCAAGCAAAAACACCCATACACATAATAAAATTAAAATAATTTAAAAGTTACAGAAAAGTTGGGGCTGGAGAGATGGCTCAGTGGTTAAGAGCACTGGCTGCTCTTCCGGAGGTCCTGAGTTCAATTCCCAGGAACCACATGGTGGCTCACAGCCATCTACAATGAGATCTGGTGCTTTCAATTCCCAGGAACCACATGGTGGCTCACAGCCATCTACAATGAGATCTGGTGCTGCTTTCTTTAGGCCTGCAGACATACATGCAGGCAGAACACTATGCATAATAAATAAATACATCTTGAAAAAAAAGTTACAGAAAAGTGAGAAAATGAGAAGTGAGAGGTACTCCCAAGAATGGGCAGGGATGCTAAGGGAGGGAAAGCCACTGAATTTCTTTCTCTAGGACTTCTATAGGATTGTAGCAGAAACTGGACAAAGGTTGAGGTAATTTCGGTAATTGCTTGAGGTTGGCTAGCTCTTAGGGCTATGACTGGGCAGGGCAATGGAGAACCCACATGCTCTGTGTGTCTGCTTGGCCTAATAGGGAGATGATAATGGGCTGCATACCCAGTTAGGAGTGTTTGGAGCACCTCTCTGTCTGACATTTGGTTAGTGCCTGACCATGACTGTCCATTGCTGTTAGTCATTTGGCTAGTCTTACTACCCCTAACCTAGTGTCTCAAGTGTTGTTAAACTATACGAAGCACTCTGTTGTCACACTGACAGGATCAGCTTGTAGCTTTGCTATGGCAGTATTACCTCTATCACAGCCACCAAGATACAGTTTCAGTCTTTCTTGGTTACCCTGTATTTAGTGCCTTGTCTTTGGAGTGGTCTGAGGTAGTCTCCTAAGCAGAAGCTTGTTAGATGACATCTAACTTACTTGCAATTACACATTAGAATTAGCTGCCTTAGAAGCAAGAATATTAAGTGTCTTATACATAATCCTCAGGGCTTTGTGGAGCAGTTGGACTGTAATCATCGTCCTAGAACCCACTCCCCCTTTTATCTGTTTAGCTTGGTCATTTCACACCCCTTTATTCATCCTCCTCAGTGCTCCAGACTGACATTTTAAACCTAGCTTCTGTTCCCACTGCAGCATGTGTGAACATGTTGTATTTTCTACAGGAATCAAGTTACACACACACACACACACACACACACACACACACACACATTTATATTTTATTTTCTAAGTGCTGCAGGGATGCGCATGTACCAAACTGCATGTGGAGAGGTCTGAGGATGACTTGTGGGAGTTGGTTCTCTCCTACCATGTAGATCCAGGCATCAAACTCTCAAATCTCCAGGATTGGCAGCAGATGACTTTACCCACTAAGCAATCTCACCACCACCACCACCTCTTAAAAATTTTTGAGACAGGGTATTAGTTTGTATATACCTCAGGCTGGCCCAGAATTCAGAGATCTGCCTGCTTCTGCTTTCTGAGTGTTGGGATTAAAAGTGCACTGCCATATCCATCCCCTCAAAGGTTTGTTTGAAGAAAGAGTGACCATTGCCATTTGGAGTTAGATGTAGGGTCCAAGACAAAGATGTACTTTAGAACTGGTACAAAGGTTCAAGGGGGATTTCAGAAAACTGAAGGCACAAAAGCAGAACCTCCCCTGTTTACTCTTGGCTTCCCTGAGGGATGACAGATTGAAGGGAAGGAAAAAGGTTCAAGGAGGCAGAAAACCACCAAGGAGTCTGGCAAGGTCCTGTAAGGACTTAAGCATCTAGACTTGATCATGTGAGCAAGCCTCTGGAGGCTTGTGCCACGGCAAGAAGGAAAGTAAATCTGGTGTTCCGTGCAGGAATGTGGACGCTGAAGGTGCTGCCAGTTAGATGGTGATGGAACCAGCTGGTGGAAGTGATGGTAGCAAAGGAAAAGCATCCCCATTTAGTGACAAAATGACACAGAGTAAAAAAGAGTGTCAGTCAATTATAAGCTCTCAAGTTTCAGTGAACCAGGGTGCTAGAATATGGCTTTTTTTTTTTTTTTTTTTTTTTGGTTTTGGTTTTTTGAGACAGGATTTCTCTGTGTAACAGCTCTGGCTATCCTGGAACTCTCTGTAGACCAGGCTGGCCTCAAACTCACAGAGATCTATCTGCCTCTGCTTCCCAAGTGCTGAGGTTAAAGGCGTGCGCCACCAACACCCGGCATGTTTGAAACCTTAAAGCCCATTGCCAGTGACACAACTTGTCCAACAAGATCACATCTCCTAACCATTCCCAAACAGTTCCATTGAGGACCAAGTATTCCATGTATGTATGCCAGGCAGCAGTGGTGGCTGTGGCACATGCCTTTAATCCCAGCACTCAGGAGGCAAGTGGATCTCTGTTTGAGGCTAGCCTGGTCTACAGAGAATTCCAGGACAGCTAAGGCTACACAAAGAAACCCTGCCCTGGGGTCGGGGGAAGGGGGTTCCAATGTATGAGCACACAGAACCTATTCTCATTTAAGCCACCAGTGGCTATAGTGCCGTTTGACTGTAGGCCTCTCTTAGAGATTGACTCCCAATCCTTTCCCCAGTTTGGTTGTCTGAACCTTGGATGGGGACCCCTAGCTTTGGAAGTACTAGGCCAAGTCTGAAAAACAAAATAGAAGGGTCAAGGATTGGAAAAGAGAGAAGGCAGTCATGGATGGTGGTCTGTGTCTGTAACCCCAGCACTTAAGAGGCTGGGAGAGGAGAATCACCATGTGTTTGAGACTAGGTTCCAGAGCCAGACAGCATTCCAGCTAGTCCTGCTGGCAGAGGAAAGCAAAGGAACTTGGAGAGGTCATCAGGAAGAGAGCCCAGGTACTAAATACCCAAGTCTATATCTTTATAATTCCCCTGTAACCCTGCTACCTCTCCCAACATAGCACATACTCATCTCTCTTTTAAAAAGCTTTTATTTATTTGTTGGAGACAGGGTCATAATATGCTACCAAGGTTGGCCTTGAATTCTCACTCTTCATGCCTCTGCCCCACAGGTGCCAAGGTTACAGATGTGTACTACCCTCCCCCCCAAGTTAAATTTTATTTAATTCTAGGAAGGAAACATAAAGTGCTTAGATTTAGAGTTAGGGGTTGGAAAGAGAGCAAAATTCCCTCTGATATCACACCATTTAGAACTTTCCAGTTCCTTAGAGATGAAAGAGGGTATATCTAAAAAAAAGGTAAATAAAAGTCATTCAGTCTGTCTCCCAAGTGCTGAGATTACAAATATTCACCAACAAGCCTGGCTCTCAAAATAGTTATTTTAAGGATAAAAAGATCCTGCACTACCAGCCATGTTGTATAATCCACATCGATAGTCAACACAAAGCAGGTAGACCAATGGTGTGGAGAACAAGACTATTTCAACAGAGACCTGAGGATCAGAGTGATAAAGCAGCAGATGGATGTTCTGGGTTCTGTAACAGAAACAAAGCGGCTTTCTGCTCCTCTGGAATTTTCTCCAGTAAATGCCGGGCAAAGGCCTGCTCCATCTGTATGGGAAGAAATGAGGAACAGGCCTCATGAGCACTGCAGGCACAGTCACTACCCCGTAGCTCCTCCCCCTTAGGAACAGTTCTGCAACCAATCAACGTTGACCTGGTTTTGGAGTGGAGCTCACCTGCACTGTGATAAGATTCTCCTGGGTGTGGCTGGAGCCAGGCCTCTCCTCCCAGAAATGCAGGGTTGCCTGGAACTTGGGTGGGGGGCCCTGGCCCTGGCAGTACTGGGCCAAGTCTAAAAGAAAGAGGATCAAGGATTGGAAGAAAGAAGAGGGAAGGCCAGGCATGGTGGTATATGCCTGTAACCCCAGCACTCAGGCTGGGGCAGGAGAGCTGCCATGGATTTGAAGTAGCCTGGTCTACTTAGGGAGTTCCAGGCCACCAGGAGCAATGTGAGAGTTGACTCAGAAACAAAAAGTAACAATATAGAGGGCCTTGAGTAAGGTGGAGCTGTCTGGGCAGTCAGATGCAGATATGAGAATGTGGTAACAAGGACACCAAGGTCAGGGCAAAGCTGTGGCTTAGAGATGCTAAGAATTAAGTGGTCTTCACGGTGCAGTAGGAAGGGTACCTTGGAGGCCTCAGAAGCAGCAGCCCTGGCTACCAACCCTTTGTTGTTTGCTTATACTCCCAACACTAGGGCACTAGGAGCCCAGGGACACCACGCTATCCTCTATGTTCCTACCTATGCTCACAATCAGAGGCTCAACTAGAATTTCATGGGTGGCCAGAAGGAAGGGACGGTCTTAGGAGATCCCCACAGCATGGTAGAGATGGTGGGGCGGGGCAAGTGTGTGCAAGATGTCTTGGCTCTTCCACAAACGGAGCTGTGCGTTGCAGTGTGTGGAGATGGTCGCAGGCTAAAATCCGTGTTAACCTGTTTGTACAATGCTCCCCCAAGATGTGCCACTCTTGTCTGAACCCAGCGGGACCTCATCTACCATGACCTTGGCGAGGGAAATGCTGCCGGAGCTGAACATACAGCTCCACATAATGTGCGGCACACGAGTGCAGGGGTGCCACGCACAGGCTGTGGTGACAATCTGCTGCCGGACAGGGGAGGGGGGGAACCCAGGTCAGGCCCAGGGGACAAAGAGACAGGGGTGGGTGCTGAGGTGCCCAGCTAGGAAGCCTTTACCTCTAGAGAAGCAGGTGGTACTGAAGAGCTCCACACACTTATTGCTGGGCAGCAGATGCGGACCAGGCCCAGGTGGGGCCTCAGGTGCATTCCAGGAGACGGGGATGGGACAAAGGCGCTGAACAAAAAGGCCTCTGGAATTGCTGGCCACCAGGATGCCTCTCTCAAGCTGACTCAGTAGGTGCTGGATAGGCTCCAGTGGATCAGGTGTGGGAAACACCACTTGTGGCATGTTGCTCTCCGAGACTGAGGGGTCAGCCACAAGGCGACAGTCTAGGCTCTCCACCGTGATCTCGCCCACCACACGCCCACTGTAGATGAAGGTGAGCAGCAGCGAGTAGTCTGGGAACAGAAAAGCCCAGCTGTATTAAGTGTGGGAGGAGCCTAAAGGCTAATAAGGGGCCCTCTTCTCATGTTGCACCTGACCAGCACAAAGTTTCAGAAAAAATGAAGTGCTCCAGTGTCCCCATTTTGTTAATGGGAAAACTGAACTCAGGGCAGGAATCCAAGCAAGCACTGGGAAAGACAAGGTTGCATGGCTGAGGCAGTTCCTTCTGAGTTAGAGAAGGTGTTTGGCTCAGCTGAAAGAATGGTTGCCTAGCATGCACAAAGCCCTGGGTTCAACACCCAGCACTACAATCAACCCTTGGCATGGTGCCACACATCTGTAAGCCGGATACTCAGGAGGATCAGGAATCCAGGTCATCTTGAGCTACACAGTGAGTCTGAGGTCAGACTGGACAATATGAGAGTGTCTTTAAAAAAAAAAAAAAAAAAAAAAAAAAAAAAAAAGGAAAGGAAAAAA